CATTCCAGATTAGCTAAAGCTGTATGGTAACTAAAATTAGCAAATAATTTTTTTTTTTCCTTTTTGTCTTTTTTCGTGTCCGGCAATGGATCGCAACCCTCAGTGTCGCGCCCGTACCGGACCGAGACCGGCAACGGGATCGCAACCCTCGGTGCTGCGCCCGCCCCTCGCTCAGCCAGTGAGCGGGAACCGGTCTGTATGTGGGATCCGAACCCTCGGCGGGAGCGCCACCATGCTCCCAAGCGGTGCACTGTAGCAGTGCGCCACCGGGCCGGCCAAATTAGCAAATAATTTGATTATTTTATGAATGTTTTCCAGCAACAAAAATCTAGGTACAAAAATTGATGCACATTTTTTTCGACAATAGCTCGAAAGCTATTATAAAAGTAAGTCAAATACAACTCACTGTACTTGCTATACACAACTGTACTTGCTATAAATGATCCCCTCACTTACTGCTTGTACTTTGAATTGCTGTGCCAACATCTGTCAGCAGTGAGGTGGCTTGTTTGGGTTATAAACTAGCAGGAGGCCGAGACAGTGTTTACGATAATCAGAACCTCCATGACCTACCTCTACCCCCAAAAACACATTATTTTATTTCTATTTTTTCTACTAAAACCTCAGATATTTATTCTACTGTATGTTCTACAATTATTATTTTTATTTTTATTTTTTAAAATTTTTATTTTGTCAATATACAATGTATATGATTATTATGGCCCTTCANATGAAAGGGATAAGAAGGGAGAGAGGGAAAAACCTGGTGAGAAGGGGTGAACCTGCTCTCATAGGGATTTTGAACTTCAAATTGGCAGATGATTTACCCATTGGATCAGTAGTTTTCAGTCTTAATTACACATTGGAATCACCTGGGAAGCTTTTAAAACTCTTTAAGGTCAAGACCAATTAACTTAGAGTCTCTGGAGGTGGGATCCTGGCATTTATAATTTTAAGAACTATTCATATGTTTAAAAAGTACAGCCAGATTCTAGAACCATTGCAATGAGGAAAAAGAAACTTGAAGACTTCTGAATTAGATGTTATCTTTAATTGGCCAGTTTAGTTTACTTATTTTTTCCATCTTACTGAAATTCTAGATATTCTAGAGAGGGATGAAGTTACTTATAGAAAAGAAAATAAAGTTTTCAAAAAGTATCTACTTCTGAATTGAAGTGTTTTCAGCTGTGCTTCACATAGTTAATATAAGAGCTAATACACATGGAGTGCTTACCATTTGTCAGGCATTAAAATATTTTGTACATATTTTATTACTCATGATAAACTAGGAGGTAAGCAGTATTAATAGTCTTACTTTAGATCAGAAAACAGGCATGAAGAGGTTAAGTAAACTGATATGGATTGAATTGTGTCCCC